TATATTCAGCTGAATAGGATAGAGTTCTCAACACCACAATGTGATGCAGAAGTCTGACAAAGAGGAGTTCACTCCTTCAGATATTTATAATATTCTCGTCATACAACTATCGTCAGACAGAGGAAACAATTTGAACAATGATTCCATTAAAGCAATCAGTAAGTCCCATCAGAGCCAGTTCTGTTGGTCACATCAGCATCTTTGTTTCTTACAAGGTCAAGGAAGTTTCGTGCACAAAAGGTAAAGGAAAGTTCATGGAGTAGAAAGGCATTACATACAAGATATAGCAGACAGTTAAAATTTCCTTTGCAAATATGACATTAATACTCACATTAACTTACACAGTCAAGTGTAGCATCAATGTTAACATTACCACAATGATAACATTAGATAACTAATGTGGTGGAGCTTAACATAAAATACTGTATTTTACTTACCACAGAAACTGGAGCACAGACTTCTTTGACTTCTCTGTCAGGAAAATCAGCTGAACAACAAACCATATTATCCATCCGATATGTGACTGAAAACTTCTCAACAGACTCGACCACGTCATGTTCAGTGACTGGGATTAGCCGGTTTGCTCAGGTGACAGTGATGAACTAACGATGACATCACCTGTTAATCAATTGATAATTATGCATAATTTCAAACCCCTCAATGAACTAGTTAGAAAAAATTCAGCCCCTTTACAGTTGTGAACTCCAGTTTTTTGTACTTCCGCATAGGCTTAATCGGTCAGTCATGGTTGTTGCCGCGTGACCTGACCGTTTGTAGGAAACAATTTCACAGTGGTGATCCAGGGACTTCTCACAGAAACTCGTGTGATCACGCAGTGCAGGATGGTGTGCAATAAGTTCAACAACTTGGGCTGCACGCTTTCTAACAGCTTCCTCCTGCATGTGTGCTCCTTCTGCGGAGGCCCCCATGTCCGTAACACCTGCCTTCACAATCCAACCACACCAGCAGACTGACTAGAATAGCACCTCAGCACACCAGTTAACCCATAAGAGTTCTTGTGCATCAGCCTGGACTCAAAATCCTTCTACCCGTATTATCCCCAGAGCTTTAATCTCTCCATTCAGACTCCAGCTGTTCTTCATCTGCACTTTATGAGATCTATCCCATAGTCATAGCTGCTGTTCTTTGAGTGCATGAAAGGTCCAGAAAGTTCATACTCACCGCAATTCCTGCGCAGACACATTGGTCTCAGCCCAACAACAGTTTATCCTCAGGGCAACCCACATCTCCGGTTACCACTTCAAGCAGGAAGATTCAAATAATTGAAAGAAATTGAGGTGAGCAGAGAACCAAATAAAAGTGTTTGCAAACAGAATATAAGGTGCATGAGTGATATGGAGAGTAAAATGTAGAACATTACAAAAGGTCAGCAAAGTAAAATTAATTAACTAATTAACTAATTAGTGAGCCTAAAATAAAAACCATAGCATTTGTATTTCAATAGAATAAGCCTTATACATTTTTAATATCTCCATTGAAACGGGTCGCACCCAGTCACAGCATCGCCATGTTGGATCGCCATATTACTACAGATCCCCTAAAAGGAGAAACCGGTCTGAGGCGACGTCTTGCATATCTTTAGTGCCAATTCTTCTGGCTTTTTGGTGGTAGGCCAAGAACAGTTTGGTGCATTACCACCAGCTGGTCTGGAGTGTGGACACAGACTGTGAGTGTGCATTTGTTTACTGAAGAAGCTGCATGAAGAACCACGTCCATAAAAAAACATAGAAGAAGAAGTGGCACCGGGAGGTTGTTATGAAAGGTCTGTAAGAAGTTTGCGAACAGAAAAGACATGGAATGGAGGAAAATACTCCCGACACACAAAATGAACGGCACAGACTTCATCTGAGAAGTGAAAGTGAAAGTTAAAGAGGTGTCATTAAACAGGACCTGAGACAGAACCGGGGACAAACACCTCGTTTTCTCCAGGATGGAAAACTACTGAGAGGCAAAGAGTTTCTGACACTGAAGTCTCCCGGTTTTCTGTTGAACAGGTAATTTACAACATCAATATAAATTTTATCTGTTGTTCAATTGTTTCGGGGTTTTTTTATATTCAAACTGATACTGTTATTGTAACTTTTACATTGTTACAAATAGATTCATATTGTGAATTACGCCTGCCGAAGATCATTGTAGTACTTGTTGCGTCATCCTAGATGTGACACGAGGGAGACTTGGAGGTAGGACTCGGTCGCAGAGTTTAGGAGAATGTTGACAATGATCAGGTCTTTATTTAACCCAAAACAATACAAAAAGACTGGCTTACAGAGGGTGCCTCAAAAAGAGGGAATGATTACAAAACTTACAACTGAAAAATCCTACCTTCCGTGAAGGGATAAGAAACAAACAACAATTAACAGAAAACCGCTCCGAAGAGGGAAAAAGCTATGAAAAAGGATGACAAAATAAATCTTTTCCTGAGAGGGAAACGCTATGAACATTAACTAAAAATAAAACTCCTACAATGCGGGACAACAATTCTAATCTAAAAAACAAAAATCTCCTCTGAAGAGGGACAACATCTAAAGATAAACTAACTACACTAACTAAAAGAGCTATCAAAACTATAAGGCAAAAGCCATCAAAAAACACTCTTCGCGAGGCAACCGACTGTGACTATGAATATCTTTCTGTGACAAGGCAAAAGGCTGGTGGCACTTGACGATCGTACAAGACACACTGGCACAGGACAAAGGGGAGACGCAGACTATAAGCACACATGGAGGTAATGGGAAACAGGTGAGTATAATCAGGATCGTGGAAGACAATCAGACCGAGGCACATGAGGAAGGGCAAGTGACCTGAAACGAGAGGAGAGTTACTTTTCAAAATAAAACAGGAAGTCACAATACAAACATGGAGACAGGACAAAAACTTAACTTGACCTTTACTGCGGCGTGACAAGATGTATTTATTTGGTTTAGTGAACTTCCCATCACCTCAGGATGTAAAATAATTTATTACAGGAGAAGACCACTGTGTCATGTATCACTTATTTTCTTACTGTTCTTTTACAGCTTTATGACCCTGATAACTTCAATGAAAGAAGTTTTGGATTCAGCTGTGTTTAGCAATGGAGTTTGTACTGGAACACAGGCAAGTCAATGAATTGAACATTGATCCCTAATGTCTTATTAACAAAAAGTGTTGTTCTTCCATTCGTGGTTATTTCCTCTCCTTTCTGGCTGCCGTTTTACCATATCCATTTAAACAAAGTTTGAAATGCTTTAGTATTATAATATTA